TTTTTTTTTTTTTTTTCCTTCTGCTATTGAACCCAGGGTCTTGTGCACCCTCAGCACTTGCTCTGCCACTGAGCTACACCCCAGCCCAAAGCAAGCTAGCTTTTCACACCCCCAGGTCTAACCATGCCTCACCATATTTTCTTCTATTTAAAAAAAAATTCTGTTGAACAATTTAGTACCACCTGTGTCAAAGCTTTAAACTTAGTAAATCAGCATTTAATCTTAAATCATGAAGAGAAATTTTTTTCATCTCAGTCTGTGCATGATGGCTTTGGCAGCTTGTATAGACTATTCTAAATTCCTCGTGACACTAAAAATGGGAAACTGAAGTTGTTAGTAGGAACTATTAATATTGTGAGCAGTTGTTGAATGCTTAATGTATGGCAAATAGTTGCTAAATACTTTATGTGTATTTAACTATCAAACCAGCTCTGTGGGAGGTACTGGCATATTAGCACATCCCCCCTCCTTTTTTTTTTGGTAGAGGGGATTGAACTTGGGACCTTCCACTTGTGAGGCAGGTAGCAGAACCACTGAGGTAAATCCCTGGCCCTCCCCACTTTATTTATTTATTTGGTACTGGAATCAAACTCGGGTCCTTGTGCTTGCAAGACAGGTGGCCGAACCACTAAGCTAAATCCCTGGCCCCCCATTTTTAAATCTATCTATCTATCTATCTATCTATCTATCTATCTATCTATCTATCTATCTTTCTATCATCTATCTATTATCTATCCGTCCATCTATCATCTATCATCTACCTATAATCTACCTATCAGTCATCTATCATCTATCTATCTATCTATCTATCTATCTATCTATCTATCTATCATCTATCTGTCTATCTATCTATCTATCTATCTATCTATCTATCTATCATCTATCATCTCCTGTCTCTCATCTATCTGTGGTGCTGGGGTGGAAGACAGGGCCTGGCGCTTGGTAGGCAAGGGCTGCCCCTTAGCTGAGGAGTCTGAGGTTCTCCCAGTCTTCATAGGACACACTGGCTAGTCTGAGCCCCAAACTTTATTCGAATGACCCTGCTTCCTTCAACGCTTTGTCTGGGGTCCACTCCTCCCTTGCCAGGCCTCCTGTGGTTGGGGGCAACCTCTAGCTCTGTAGGTCCAGTTCCATACCCCCAGGTCTTCAGAAGCTGCAGGCTGGGCTGGGCTGAAGTCAGCCCTGGGCAAAGGACCTGGGCTCCCTGAGGTCCCAGCTACCCACCCACCTTCGACCTACCCCTCTACCCATGTGGGTGCCTGGGGAACCACAGAGGGGAGACCAAGAAAACCAAGGGTGGACTTGGGGCCCGAGGTCAGCTGCAGACCAAAAGGAGAGGGGCAGGAACTCTGGTTCCGAGTCTGAAGCCCTAGGCCTCCACTCCGCTGGTCTCCCTGCTTCTCTCTCAGCCTCAGCTCATGAAAGAATTGAGTTTGGGCTGGGTACAGAGTGACTGTGGGGCCAGTGTGATAGAGCTCACTGAGGGACAGAGAAAAGTGGAGTCTCATGATGGACGGACTAGGAATTGGGGATTCTCTGCTGGGCCTCTCCAAAGCCAGAGGTTTGTAGGAAATTCTCCCTAGGGTCAGTTCCTGAGTGTATCTGAGTATTTGGGGGCAGGGTGCTAGGCGTGTTCTGGCGACAGCCCCCTGAGATCCGGGTTCCCAAGGTACCTTCACAGGACATCTCACCCAGCTTTGGGTATGGCTTTCCTCCTGCAGGTCAGCCCAGGCTCAGGAGCAGGTTGGCAATGCCCAGGACTGGTGTCGGTGTCAGGGTGCCAGCCGGGGGTGCCTGCCAGACAGAGGCTGGACCTGACGGATGGACAGACAGGCTGAGGGTCAGGGTCCCAGGCAGTCAGAAAACGGACTGGGGCTCATGCTGGGGGACGTGGATGGGAAAACTGCCACAGCCTGGAGTGAGAATGGCAGTGGGAGAGGGCCACGAAGGAACCGAACCGAGCCTGTATTTCCCCTGTGCAGCACATGCTGGGCTGTCCTGTCTAGATAAACCCTCCAGAAGCCCTCCAGGAGAGGCTGCTTTCACTCTGCACAGAGAGAGGTAGGGCTATGCGCTTGAGATCCACCACCCCGCCAAGAAGTTGAGGACCCTGAACAGGAACCCAGGAAGTGTGACTCGGGAAGCCCAGCTCTTCCCATGCTTTTCCGCCTAGAAAAGACCAGCAATGGGGGGAAGGGTGCAGGCTCCTGGTGTTAGGGGAGTGGTGGGGTTGGGGGTGCATGGCCCTGGGATGTGGGGCACAGCCTGGGCTGCACCACAAATAGTTAAAGGCCATGCCCGCCCCTTGATCTCCCCGCCTCCTCCTCAGCCACCTCCCAGCTCTTCCTGTCTGGTGCAACACCCTCCTGAGGCTCTCCCTCCCCTCCCACCCCTCTGCTCTGGCTTTAGTTTTCAGACTTGGCCTCGGGTTCTGGCCTCTGGGCTTTGGGGACCCCAGGTGGGGTGGTGATCTCCACCGTCCCGGTCTCTTGCCTCTTCCTCCAGCCAAGCCGGGGGATCTGTGACCTCTGGTCGGACTCCGACACTACTGCCCCCGAAGCTGTCCTATCCCCAATGGGGGAGTGAGAGGCCCCTGCTGGCCGGACATGGGCCTCCCTGCCGTGCCTGGCCCGCTGCTGCCACAGGTGAGAGGGAAGACTGGGCTGGTGGGGTGGGATCCGCCAGGCAGAAGAGGGCTACCCAGGAAGGGGGGAGGCTCAGGCCTTAGTCCCGGGCCTGAGTGTGGCAGGCAGTCAGCTTTCCCGGCCTCACAGCAGCCCAGGAGGCAGCGCCTGCGCTGGGGAGGAGAAAGTGAAAGCCTGGAACTTCATCCTGGCCGGCCAGGCCTTGCGTGGGGGCCCTTGGGGGCAGGGGCACGGAGCAGGGGTGGAGACCTGGCAGGTCGGGGAAGGAGAGGAGCTGAGAGGGTTCAGGGGTGTGGGCCATCCAGGTCCTGAGCTGGGGTCGGACTGGTCTGGGAGGGAGTGTGCTGGCTGTGGGGCCAGTGGGCTCTGACGGGCAGCCCTGGCTCAAGAAATGGGGAAACTAAGTCCAGGAGGAGACAGGCTGGGGGGCAGGTTTAGGGTGCATGAATGGGGCTATCTGCGAGTGGAGTGGGAAACAGGACAGGGGCAGGTGGTCAGGTGGAGCGGCCCGTCTCTAAGATGCTTGCTTTGCCCTTTTGCCCCCGAGTTGCTTCCAAAGGGTGGCCTTGGCTGGACTAAACTGCCTAGGCCACTAGACCCTCCAACCGCTTGTCAGTGTCCCCCAGGTCTCTCCAGCACCCCCCGCTTCCCTGCAGACCTAACAACCATCACTTGGCTTCTTATGCAGAGTTGTCTTTGGGGAAGTTGGTAGCAGGTTGTTGTCGTCACTGGACAAGGTTCCCTCTCTGGCTCAGCTTGTTTTGTTTTTTGTTTTTTGTTTGTTTGTTTTTTTTTTTTTTTGGTTTTTTTGAGACAGGGTCTCACCATGTAGTTGAGACTGACCTGGATTTCACTATGTAGCCCAGGCTGGTCTCGAACTCACAGCGATCATCCTGTCTCAGCCTCCCTAGTGCTGGGATTGCAGGCATGCGCCACCACGCCTGTCTGGCTCAGCTTGTTTTAAGGCACCCTGATGTTCCTCTGGGAGCTGGACTAAACCTCCTCACCCTGAGCCCTTCTCTCGCCAGTGAGGGACTTTCTTGCCTGTGGGGGTGGCCTCTCCTGGGTCGCTGCCTTTCACAGGGCCAGGAGCAGTGCCTGCCCTGCCTCCTTCTCTCCCCACATGTCCTCCTTTCCCTTGTCTCCTGAACCCCACTTTGAGCCCCTTTCTATCCAGCCCCTCCTCTGCCTGTCTCTGCTCTGGTCCTACATTTCAGTTCCCCCCACCCAACACCTGCCTGGACAGTGGTCTTGCTCTGTCCTCATCCCTCCTCCTATCCCAACCCACCCTCTCTTCCCTCACTGCCCTGCTGCCCCATCTTCATAATTCTGGGACCCCTTTACACTATAATTTCTTTATGTCTAAAATGAATATAGTGGTCACCACCTCCTGGAGTGATTTTTTAAAAAATATTTTTTATTGGTACATTTTAGGTATATACTACACTTGCATTCATCATTGGGTCTTGTGCCTTTACATGACCTATTTTGGTTCTTATTTTTTCCCCCATTCCACTAGCCTCCTTTCCTCCTGGTGTGATTTTAAGATTAAATAGATGGATACATGTGGAGTATCTATTCAATTTATTGTGTCTGTTTCAGGTGCTGGAATTACGGTGTGAGTAAACCTCTCTCTAGTTTAGGGTCCCGAGGGGAACAGGGGAAAGCAGGGAGAACATACAACAAACACTTGGCTTTTATGGTGATGTCCTTGGGTGTTTGCTGTACTTGTTCTCTGGGAAGCCGAGAGTAAATGGAGCTGTCTGGCGGGGGCTGGCAGCCCTGCCCACAGTGTGGGTGCTGTGTGGGGTGTGCATGGGAGGTGTGGGGGCCGGGAACACAGAACACAGGACTGAGCGTGGCCGAGTGAGCTGAGCTCCTGTACGATCCCGGAGACTAGATGGCTTGTCGTGAAAACCATTCCAGAAACACTGGGGAGAAAGGACTGCTGACGCCTCTCAGTGCTGGGACGTGGGGAGTGGAATGGGAGGGGTGCGCCTGGTCTAGTGCCCTTTTATGCTGTGCCAGTCCAGGAGCTGACTCCTGGGGTGCCGGGCCAGCGCTTCCCGATGACGTCTCTGACCCGTCTGTCTGTCCGTCCGTCGGAGCTGGGGAGCTGGACATTGACTGTCTCAGTGTCCTCAGCACCCAGGGGGCCTGGCATGGAGGCTGTGCCCTTGAACTATTTGTTGAGTAAACACAAGGACAAAGTATTGGTCTAATAGGTGAGGGAGGGAAAGCCTTCTAGAAAAGTGGGTTTGGAGCAGACATCTGAAATAGCTGGCTAGAGGAGTGGGAGGAGGCCCAGGAGCTGGGAGATAGATTTAGGGGAAAGCAGAGGAATGGGGATGCGGAATGAGTTGAGAGGTGGTGCGGACAGGAGCTGAACGCTTGCTGGGGTGACCACTGTGAAGAACTTCGGGTGGGAACACCGGGGTGCGTGGGGAGAGTGAATAGAGCCTGGACTATGGATTCAGGTGAAAGAACTCCTTTCCTTTCCCTTCCTCCTTCCCACTTCCCTTTCCTTCCCCTCCCTGTCTACATCCCTTCTTTCCCTCCTTATTCCCCAAGCACTCTCTGCCTGGACTGTGTCAGTACAACAGTGAGGACTTGGCGCGAACAGGCAGGGAAGGAGCGCCCCAGGGAAATCTGTTTGAAGTCAGGCCTGAAGATGGAAGGGACCCACGCACAGCTGTGCAAGCTGCAGCATGAGTGCAGATAAGAAAGTACGTGGGGTGCTGGCTGAGGCGCCTGTAATCCCAACTACTTGGGAGGCTGAGGCCAAAGGATTACTTGGGCCTACAAAGGAGTTTAGGGCCAGCATGGGCACCATAGTTGGATCCTGTCCCAGAAAAGAAAAAAAGACAGTGTGTAGAGTGGACTGGAGTGGGAAAGAGAAAGAGGCAAGCTGGGACAGCGAGAGGACGGAAGGGTCCTGGGGGTAGAGCCACCGGACAACTGGCAGATAGGATAGCACAGGGTAAGGGTAGAGGTCTTGGCACTGATGTGAAGAAGTTAAGAGACAGGACCTCTGTGTACACAAGGCGAGCAAAGCATTTCCAGCGTGCTGCGCATGGAGGACCAGCCAGGTGGAACTGAGGTCCCGCAGGCTGGGGAAGAAGGCCTCAGCCTTTCTCTGCCCCACACTGTGTGAACTGCACTCACTTGCCAGGGGTCCCCAGAGAGAGAGGCACTGGCTGAGACCTTGGAGAGAATGCAGGCATCAGCCCTGCAGGCGTCAGGGGCTTCACCTGGAAGGTAGATCGCAAACTCCCATGTGGGTCCTTCCGCCCTGCAGGCCTGGCTTTGGGTAGCCGGGAGGACGAGGCAGGTCTGACCAATGGCCTCTCTGATGTCTTGTCTCGCAGGGCTCATGGTCTGCCCGGGAGATTGTATCTACTTATCTGAAGTGGTTGGATTATGATAAGAGCCCAAAGTAGATATGGTCAGGTTACTGCTGAGTGTCAGGAGTTCATAAGGCATTGGCCTAGGGGTTCAGGAGCAGGAGGGGCGTTAGTAGGGTGCCCGGCGTAGTGGCTGTTGCGGGCTTCCTGGGTTGTGACATGCAATGGAAGAAACACATTTTAACTTCATGACACAAGACTGCGGGGGAAGGACACAGCACTCAGGTCTCTGAGGGAGGTGGCAGGTCGGGGTGAGACCACAGGGTCCATCTTGGCTTCTCTGCCCCACTCTGTAGCCCCTGCACAGGAAGTCACACTTCGCCGAAAGCCTCCACAGGCGGAAGTTGCAGGGGAGTTGGAGAGGTGCTGGGGGTGCCCTCGACTGTCTCTCCACAGACACCCCCTGCTTCCTGTCCTTCCCTGCACCAGATGAGAGGCCTCAGGCTGAGGTGGCCCTTGGTGCAAGCTCTGCTTCTATTCCAGCCATACCACACAGCTGCTGAGGGCTGGGGTCTGGTGCCCACGGATGGGAGTGGGAGCCCAGGGCCCTGGCGGTGTGGGGGTTGGGAGGGCCTGCAAGCCCCGTGGGTGGTGAGTGAGGACGGCTGTCCTGACTTGCCTGCTTCCTGTTCCTGGATGTCCAGGCCCTGCAGTTCTTCCTGTGCCTCCAGTTGGTGCAGGAGGAGCTGTGGGGCCGCAGAATTGGCCCTGATTGATTCCTAAGTACTGTCTTTGGAAGCCCCCAAACCTGACGCAACTCCCCAGATCCAGGCGGGCTGTGGGAATGTGCTGAACCCAGGGTGGGAGGGCAGCCCCGCTGTGCTTCTTGTTGGAACTGGGGAGTGCTGGGGGGCAAGTTCGAGAGCCCAGGGACTCGGAATGGGTTTATCTGAGGAGAAGGAACGGAAGGGGCCGAGCCTAAGGAAGGACACCGAGGGCAGGGCGGAGCTGAGTGTCCTGGGGGGCCAGCTCCTGACCTGAGGGGAGGAAGCCAGGGGTCGGGGGAGACTTCCCTTCGGAATGGAACAGAGAGGGAGGCATTTCCCAAAATCAGTGGGCCATGTGGGACAGGACCCACCACTTGGCTCCTTCAAGGGAGGAGGTAGAAAGGCGCTCTGAGTGGGGATCAGATGGGGTCCCCCTTGCTGGCTGGGCTCTTTCTTCTGCTGACTCATGATACTTGAGGAGCTGGGGAAGCTGCTAGTTCCCTCTACTCGGTGCTAGATCCCCTCCCTCTGGCCTGAGTCACTGGGGCGGAGCTGCTGGGAAAAGATTTTCCCTTTCCCGGATCTGCCTTAACCCCCAAAGTTCTGGAGGAGGACACGTATGCAGCTTGGGAAAGCCTCTCCCAACTCCCTCGGGGGAGGCTCCCTCACCGGGGGAGGCTCCCTCACCTCAGCTGCCCCAGGACAGGCGCTTTCCGGGGTCTGTCCACTGCCGGCTTTGCGTGCAGCCCTCTGGGTGGCATTCCAAGTGCTAACGACCTTGGGGCAGGGCGCCAAGCTCTTCTTGGGGAAAAGGAGCCTCTTGTTTAGCATCGGGAAACTTCCCATAATCAGTCCTTCCTGTTGCCCTGGAAAGCACTGCCCCTTAAGGGCTGCTGTTGGGCTTCTGCAAGTGGCGTGCCAGGTTTGTGGGGAGCCTCAGCCTTCTGGACCTGGGCAGTGGCCAGCAGCAGCTCCCAGCAAACAACAGGGAGCTCCTGTCCTGGCTGGGGTTTCTGTGATGGATACGTCTTTTGCTCCCTAGTGTCTAATATTTTTGGAGGACACCTCTATCTTTATATAAAGTGATGAGGAGAGAGAGAGAGAGAGAGAGAGAGAGAGAGAGAGAGAGAGAGAGAGAGAAAAAAGAGATGAGGAGAGAGAGAGAGAGAGAGAGAGAGAGAGAGAGAGAGAGAGAGAGAGAGAGAATCAAGACCCAGGGAGAAGCAGAAATGAAGCTGAGACAGAGCAAAGTCTGAAAGGAGAAGCTGAATTCCGACACCTGGCTTTTGTTTTCTTGAAACTGGAGCCAGAACTGGGAAAGCCCTTCAGCTTCTGTGGGTTTGGCCTGAGGCTAGCCTGCCTCCCAGAGAGTGTTGTAGTGCAAAGGGCACCGGGACTCCCCAGCACCTCAGCTTCTGACCTGTTATTCCTGCTGCGTCCTCACCTTTGCTGGGCTCCCTGTCCTGTGACCCATGGGCCTTTGCCCTTTCTTGGCCTTCCAGACTTTGTCGGCCCCCTGCCCCATGCCTGACTCCCTCAGTTTTTGCTCTGACTGCTGTCCCATCTGTCCTTGCCAATCTGCGGTATGTGTGTCCATTTACCTGCGGGAGGAAGGGGCAGGGCCCCCAGTAACAGAGCTGTACAAAGAAATTCTTCCCTTGGCTTCTGCCCACTCCCCAGTAGGGGCACCTGGGGACACCACTCACCTCCATCGCCACCTGACTTTTTCAAAGTACTTTTTGGTGGTGTAACATAATCCAGGCAAGTTCATGGGACCTGACCGTTCACCCCCAAGAGTGAGCAGGACACGAATGCACTAGGAGACACACACCAGCCAGAGAGAGGCCATCCCCCATCTTCTGGGTGCCCCTCAGAAAAAAGGGCCATCTTCAGAATAGACTGCCAGTTCCTGACCCAGTTCCAGACTGGGTGTAGCTCATGGAAGAGTGCATGTCTGGCATGTCCCCGGCTCCTCCCTGGCACAGTGAACGACAAGGAAACACTAAATCTCCGAGTCAGGGCACAGGGCCGGCCTTGGGGCCTGTTGCCCTTCTGCTTACCTTAGAAGACAAGCACTAGATGGCCCGGTGCCGGGAGGGAGGCCCTCGGAGCAGGGTCCTGAGCAGCAGTGCCTGCTTCCCCTAATGGGACTCCCTCCCTCCATCTCCCCCAGGTGCTCCTGGCTCTGCTGCTGGGGATATTTTCATCAGGTGTCATTGGCCTGGTCCCCTCCTTTGGGGATCGGGAGAAGAGGGACAGTCCGTGTCCCCAGGGAAAATACAGCCATCCTCAAAACAGCTCCATCTGCTGCACCAAGTGCCACAAAGGTAGGAGGGGGTAGAGACAGGGCCTGCAGGCTCCAGCTGTCTATTCCAGCTGTTCCGGGTTTGGGTCCCTGCCCCAAGCCTCTCCCCTTGGCTGGGATTCCCTCCGTCCTTCCCTGTCTGGGGACTTTGGGGAAGCGGCTCTTGCCTTGGGTGCCCACAGCAGCCTGGCCCTGATGTGCTGCTCTTTCTCAGGGACCTACCTGCACAATGACTGCCTGGGCCCGGGGCTGGACACCGACTGCAGGGTGTGTGCGAGCGGCACCTTCACGTCCACTGAGAACCACTCCCCTGTGTGCCTCACCTGCTCCAGCTGCCGGGAAGGTCAGTCACCAGGGGCTTCCTGCAAATCCGTGCTGGTGGTGCAGGCAGGAGTGTGTGCACACATGTGTGCATGGGTGTGTGTGAGTTACAGACACACATGGCCAGGAGTGTCAAGAGGGGATGCAGGGGCACAAGCTTGTCATCTCAGCTACTCGGAGGCTGAAGCAGGGGGATTGTCTGTTCCAGGCCAGCCTATGAAGTTTAGGGACCTAGAGACCCCATCTCAGTGAAAACTAAAAAGTGCTGGGATGTCCTCAGCAGGAGAGTGCTCTGGGCTTGATTCCCAGTATTGCCCGGAAAAGCAATGAAGGGCTCACATCTCCTCTCTTCTCTTACCAGAACTGCTCCAGGTGGAGCTTTCCCCTTGCACAGTGGACCGGGACACCGTGTGTGGCTGCAGGAAGAACCAGTTCCGGAACTACTATGGGGATACACATTTCTCGTGCACCAACTGCAGCCCCTGCCTCAACGGCACCATTACCATCCCCTGTGAGCATGGCTGACCCACACCCACATCCTCTCCCCAGCCATCTCCCAGAAGGAAGGGCCCCACCTTTTGCCCCTTTTTCCTAGATGGAGCTGTGTCTCTCCTTTCTGCGCCCAGGGTCTTCAGGTCTGGCTGCCCCACCCTGCTGCTCCACCCTCCTCTGGCCCTCCTTTACCTATGCACTTCTCCCTGCAGGCCAGGAGAGACAGAACACTGTGTGCACCTGCTACACAGGCTTCTTCCCAAGAGGCAGCAAGTGTCTCTCTTGCAGTGAGTGAGTATCCGCCTGCCAGCTGCTGGTACAGGTAGGGGGTACGGGGTGCCCTGGAGTGAGGTGGTGGCAGCGGAGAGCTAGTGGCAAGGCAAGGGAGACCCCCAGAATGCTCAGGCTCTTACTGGCTGGGTGGGTGGGTGGTGGGAACCTGTGGCTATAATCCCAGCACCCTGGGAGGCCAAGGCAGGGGGACTGCAGCAAATCTGAGACCAGCTGGGCAAGTTAGTGACTTATCCAGACCATCTCAAAGTGAAAAAGGGCTGGGTGCGAAGGCCTTGGGCTTAACCTCCAGTACTGAACCACAAAAAAACATGAAAAAATGATGCTAGGTAGTTAGTTCTTTCCTTCCCTCTTCCCCACAAAATGGTCTTTAAACCTTAAAAAGCACTAGGGGCAAGAAGCTCAGCCCTAAGATTTGGAACCCTTCCAAAATCAGGTTTTTGGACCCTTGGGCAATGAGTTCTACTATGGATTTGTTACTCTAGGATGTATACTTTCACGGCTGTGAAATCAGACTGTGTCTCACAATGGATGCTATATCACAGTTTAACAGTATTGTGCACGGATGTGTGTGTGGGATGTAAAGAATAGCACCTCTTATTACTTAGCGTCTTAGGATTGCTGAGTGTGCCCCCTCACCCCAGGACCCCTGACCAGACCTCCACAAAGCCTGTTCTTGTACACTCACATGTGCAGAAGAAACCTGGAGGGTTCTCAGGGGTGAATTAACCTAGGTTTAGACCCCAGGCTCACTGCTTACTGCCTGGGGAATGTTGGGCAAGTTTAAGATCTCTGAGCCTTAACTTTTCTTACCTATAAAGCAGGGAGGCTCAGAGGTAAGGCATTGCCTAGCATGTGCGAGGGCCTGGTGTAGATTCCCCAGCACTGCAACAAGTGTCTGACACAAAGCTATTTATTTTCTGTCTTTTCTGCCAAGTGTCATCTCTTCTTGAAGGAACTCTTATACCCATCCCATGAGCTTGTGAGATGGCAAAAGTGCCTCTCCCTGCTTTTAGATTCTGGGGAGGACTGACAATCTCAAGTTTCTCTGTGCAATTCTCACACACTGCACTCCCCAGGGGTGCTCCCAGCATACAAAGATGTGCTGGTTCTATAGAGGGCTTTCTCATGCATATCTGACCCCCTCTCCAAGTCAGGTAGTATAACTAGCAGTGTCATTTGAGAAAAAGCCCTTTAACATCTGTGTTAGCTTTCAGTTGCTCTGACAAATCCTGGGTAAATTTATAAAAAGGAAAAAAAATTGATTTAGGTTCATGGTTTCCAAGGGTTCAGTCTATGGTTGGCTGGCTGTGTTTTGGGGCCTGAGGTGAGGCAGCCTATCATGGTGGGAATGCACAATGGAACAAACCTGCTCATTTCACCGTGGGTGGAAAGTAAAGAGGGTCCTGATACCTTATTAGAAAGCACACCCTAATCACCTAACTTCCTTCCATGAGCCCTGCCTCCTAAAAGTTTTACCACCTCCCAATAGCATCACAGGCTGGGAACCAATTCTGTAACACATGAGCCCTGCAAGGACATTCCAGATCCAAACCATAACACCCCTCTATGCCATAATGTGACCCACAAAACGAGGATCAATAGCATCTCAAAGACAGTTACCATTTCCTGAGCACTTACTACGTTAAGCCTAATTATCTCAGTCCTCAGGACTGGGTGGGTGTAATCCCTAGGACACTGAGGCTCAGGTGAAATGGCTTACTTGGGTCACACTGTCAGCCAAAGAATGGGCTGGAATTTATACCCTGACTTTGCTTTTTTGTTTTGTTTTGTGGTGGTGCTGAGGATTGAATGTAGGACTTTGTGAATGCTGGGCAAGCGCTCTACTACTAAGCTATACTCCCAGCCCTGCAACCTGGATTGCTTTTAACTTTTTTAAGTACAGCCTTTTCAAGATCCCTTCCAATTCTTTTTTTTGGGTACTGGGGATCAAACTCAGGTCTTTGTGCTTGTGAGGCAGGTGGAAGAACCACTGAGCTAAATCCCCAGCCCAAGATCCCTTCTAATTCTAAAATAACACGATTCTGTGATTATCTATGCTTCATTCTTCTGCATTTGTTCTCAAGAGAGGTCAAATTCCATTAGGTTAAGAGATAGCAAAACTATTTTAAAGCAAAGAATTTCCAACAGTCTCTGTGTGTTTCCTTCTGTGTTCCTCTAAGTGAGGCTGCCTCTGTTCACCAGTGCTCTCTCCTCTCAGATGTAAGGAAGAGTCAGAGTGCTCCAAGTCGTGCCCACGCTCTGTAATCAGGCCCCCCAAGGACTCAGGTGAGAAGTGACGGGAGCCCACGGCCCCTGTCCTCCCAGTGGCCCTCCCTCCCCTCACCAGATCTACTTGATCTCCAGGTACCACAGTGCTGTTGCCCCTGGTGATCCTGTTAGGCCTTTGCCTTTTATCTCTGCTATTCATCGTCTTAATGTGCCGCTACCCGAGGTGGAAGCCTAAACTCTACTCCATTGGTGAGGACAGACTTGGGGGCACAGGTGCCATGGGACGCAAGTGGCTGGGCAGGAAAGGGGGGTGTCTCCTGCTGGCTGTGGGAGGTTGCTGCACCAGGAGCCCCGTCCCTGGGGCCCCATAGCCGCCCAGGCGTGGCACCGCAGGCCCACAGCCAGCCCCGCACAGGGTGAGAGGGGCAGAGGGAAGTGAAAGTCTTGACACTCTGTTTCTTTTTTCTCAGTTTGTGGGAAATCCGCACCGGTGAAAGAGGTGAGAGGAAAGCCAGGCCACCCCCAAACTTCCCCTTCCGCTCCTCCGCATCTCCTACCACCCAGACACTCACTCTGCACCAGCCGGTCCCTTAATCCATCTCACCCCAACCCCTGTCTAGAGCAGAGAGGCTCTTTGGACTCCCTATTGTGAATGCTGGACCTTCTCTCTTTCAGGGTGAGCTGCAAGGAATTACGATCACTAAGCCCCTCACCTCGACCCCGTGCTTCAACCCCAGCCCCGGCTGCAGGCTTGCCTCCACCTCCACGCCCCCGGACTGGCCGGACTTCAGGGATGCGGGGCCCCGACTTCTGCGGGCCGAGCCCATCTTCTCCCCGGGGCTCATGGCTGCACCCGTCCCCACTGCTGGCCACAAGAGGGAAGAC